GACGATTTAAATACCTTGACGAAACATACACGTCAAACCACGCTGAACGGTTAATTCATGCTAAAATCACATGCTGTAGTCTTCCTAAGTAAAACGAGATAAAATCCTTTAAAATTTCTGTTGCATATTATTTCACCTCACCTGAGGTGTCGTCATTTTCGTAAATGTATCAAGGTGCTTTTCTCGGCAGCTTGCCCCTCACGTTCGTGGTCTACTTGCAGTTGTTGACTGCCATATGCTCTGGGTTTGTGTGTGCTTCCTTCACAGTGTGACTAGTAAAGACAACACCACATGCTGTGGAGGAAGCGCACACAAACCAGTAGCATATGGCAGTCAAAAACTGAAAGTAGACCACGAACGTGAGGGGCAAGCTGCCGAGAAGAACACCTAGATATATGTACGAAAATGACGACACCCCGGGTGAGGTGAAATAATATGCAACAGAAATTTTAAAGGATTTTATCTCGTTTACTTAAGACGACTACAGCGAGTGATTTAAACATGAATTAAAACAGTGTAGCAGTTTTTAACACAGTTTTAGAAAAATACCTGTAACATAAAAAACACCTGAAGATGGCCGTTTGAGGCCGAAACATGTAGTGTTGAAGTGTAGAATGTAAAAGTGTTGCAGTTTTGATGGAAGATAAACAATGGATGCAAATGTGAACAATTGCAACATGATGCTGAAATACATACTAATGTCTGATATACTCATCTACATTCAATAGTGGATACATTATATTTTTTGTTACTTGTGCTGGTGTATTATCTTGCATTAAAGTGTGCAAAATTTAGTGCTACTTCAGTTAAGATTGATTCCTAGGCATGGCGATTATGTTCCCTAGATTGTGTGTGATTTTGATTTCAGAGAGAACTTAGCAGAAATTGGACACAATTTACATATTTTGTGGACGTTAAAGATTGAACACAGATTTTCACCAGCCTGGGCAAATATCAAGGCTTTTATCTTTTTGGCTGCCTATACACTGGCCTCTGTTGTGCCCACCAGAAAATCAGGATTTATACTCTTAAATGACTCGATGACTTACTTTGTAGTTGTGTTGTGCATTCGAGTCCAAGTATAAAATAAAACATATACTCAGCAGACTTATGAGAGATATGTCATATTGTTATTATAGGAAGACATAAAGTCCCTTTGCTCACATGTTGTTGAAAACTTTGGAAAAGTTCTGGATGACATCGAATATGTCCAGACCTTCAAAGCTCTCAAGTTGAGATACGACCAGCATCAAGATAAACTCAAGGACAGAGACAGAACAACGTTAGATAGGTAAGTATGCTGCTGCTTCAACTCTCTCAAGCCTATTCTGATTTCATAGCCAGCCTTCTAATATCCGGTGCTATCATATAGGGTGTGGCAATTGGCAGCCATTAGTGTCCCAAGCATCAACATTGCAAAATGCAGTAAACCCTTGTCCAGTGCTGTCAGTAGTTTTCTCAAGAGTGGTGACCTAGCTAAATACACATTGGATGAACATAATTCTTTATGGGTTAGGAATACATGGACATGGCCACATACAGTTTCTCATTTGTACTTAGATGTATAGAAGCTGGGATAGTGCAGTTGTTATAGTGACTGGCTTCAGTCTGGGCGACAGGAAGAGTTGGAGTTCGAGTCCCGGTAGGGTCAAGAATTTCTCTTGTATGGGGCCCACCCAACACCTTATTCAGTGGGTACTGGGTTAAAGCAACCAGGGCATGAGGCTGTCCACTTACCTCTATCTCATGCTGAGGTCAATAAAATGTGAATGTATACAGCCACTCACCCAACAACTTTCATGGCATAGTGTTTAATTAGTTAAGCGCAGGAACAACTTCACCTAGACACAGATTGTTTTTACACAAATCAGCCTGAAGTGTTTTAAATTATATAAAGCACCAGAGGCTGTAGCTTAGTTTCTGCACCTTTAGTCATTTTCAGTATAATGAGACTTGATAAAAGCTTTGATAATTCCTCAATCCCTGGGGTGAAGGACCATTTGGTATCGGGAGGTAAAGGCATTACCTCATCCCAGAGGCACTGTGTATATTCAAATTTTCCGCATTCAGCAAGTAATTGTATGCATTTGTTTTTGCATATATCATCAAATCTGTGTTGGACAGATACTCAGAAGACAAGGATTTAGTGTTTCCAGTATTTCTAGTTCACCATTCTAACTTTGAAGGAGGAAAGTCATATATTGGTTCTTGAATTCCAGTTCTTATTTCATGTTGAATTGAATTCTGTGCTAGTCCAATTATCTGTTCCTCTCATTGTTCATTATCAATATGTCTTAGGCCTAATTTCTTCAAGCTTTGAAAAGCTACATTTGCTACTAGACACTACTGTTGGAAGGCGTAGTGTTGTGGGCTGAATTGTTACAGTAACGTATTGAATTCATGTCACTTAAAATCCAGTCCTTAGATTTCAGAGTACATGTTCACATTAAACAAGGTAACTGGATGCTAGTAAAAGTGGTATTGTTGTCTGCTGGTGTGTGAATAGCTGTTGCCCTTGTATTGAATAAAAGAGCAATATTATTGGGAAAATATGATGAGAAAAAGAAATCTGTTTGGTCAGGGAAGGGCAATTCGAAAATGACAACTGGATAACTTTATAAGCAGTTTGCCTCAGAATAAGGAGTTTGCGTCAGAAGGTTAACAAGTGTATAGAAATTCCTAAGAGCAATTATGGCCTCTGATGGGGCCAGAAACACAGACAGAATTGACTTAGTTGAGGGAGGGAATAAAACTTAAAATCAGATTTCCCTGATACCAATGGCAACAGCATATCATATCTAGCATTAGTACAGTAAAAATAGTATGTATAGTACATTGTTCTTTGCTTTGTCAATCATCCAGAGTCTTCTGGCAGCTGCTCTTCATAAGAATTCTTGCAGATTGCACTTATTACTATTTTGGGAGCACAGGGTAGTGTAGTTGTTCGAGGCTCTATGCTATAAGCTGGAAGGTTGTGGGTTTGATTCCAGATGAGGTGAATTTTTTCAATTTACTTAATCCTTCCAGCCACACTATGGACCTGGGGTCGACTCAGCCTCTAACAGAAATGAGTACCAGGAATTTTCTGGGGTGGGGGGTAATGTGTGGGCAGCGTATAAGGCTAACAGCCTTACAACCTTACTGCCATCTGTGAGTCGATTGTCTAGAGAAAAGGTGGCAGCCTTGACGTCACACAACCCTATGGGTCTTCATGGGCTGTTACAGGAATAGCTTTACTTTTACCTTTACTTATTACTATTTTAGCTTTACAAATCACTGCTTCCTCTGCTGCTGCTCTTTCATTTCATCATTTTGTTGAGTTACTTTCCTTAAACTATTTAATTACTTTCACAGCTTATTCAAATGCAGTCCACATTTAACTCATTAATTTTGGGTTTTGCAATATTATCCATCCCCTCATGTTTCAAATTTATGTTTCAGTACCACTTTCAGTGTTCCATAACGTCATATGCAGTTTGTGCAGGTCCAGAATTTGTAAATGTCTTAATTCCACAATTACTCAGTCTCACATTTTTAGAATAGCCCTACATATTGTGTAAACAAACTGTAATCTGTTAGCCTGCTTCTCAGTAACATAAGTGAAAAAGCAGATGTTTTTGCCCAAGTTAGCTGAAAATAAAGTAGCAATTTGCACTTTTTAAATTGTTGTTTTTAAGCCAGTTCAAGTCGAGTAAAAATTTGGATTGGTTTCTACGTTACTTGGAATGGTCTTCAGTTGTTTGAAATGCACGTAGCACTCATAAAGCTCTTTCAGATCACTGTTTTCAAGTGATCCTAATTCCAGCAACTCAAGTATTTTGTGCAGGGCAAATAGATAAGGCAGTAAAGGTAGGGTAAAGCTATCCCTGTAACAGGTCATGGATGCCCATAGGATTGTGAGACATTGAGGCTCCCACCTGTTCTAGACAGTTGGCTCACAGATGGCATTGAGGTTGTTAGCCTTATGCACCGGCTGCCCTTTACCACCAGGAAGATTCCTGGTACTCATTTCTGTTAGAGACTGAGTCAACCCCAGGACCATAGTGCAGCTGGAAGGATTAGGTCAATTGAAAAATCCAGTGACCTCATCAGGAGTTGAACCCTCGAACTGCAGGCAGTGAACTAGTAAACAGAATTGTGCTACTGATCCAACAGTAGTGTGCTAATTGTATGTCACAGTTACAGTACTCTACAGTTAAAATAAGAAAGTTTAATTATACCTCACATTTTGAATTACATAGTATTTTATTTTTCTATCACTATATAATATATATAACCAAAAACCAAAAACTGATGCCTGGAAGCAGCGACTTGAAGCACAGAGCAAATGATGCTCGAGATGGTTCAAGTGTGTATAGCAACAGGTGTGACCAGAGTGATTTGAACGGCTGTTGTACNAATGTGCCGAGTCAACAGCCGCAAGGCCAATTACAGACACAGCACAGTGCAGAAGAATGAATTACATTCTACACAAACTTATTAAAAGTCACATACAAATTACAAGTAAGTACTTTGAAGAAATAATAATGAATAAAAGTAAAAGTAAACAAACAAATAGCTGATATGGAATGAAACATAAATATTTAATAAAAATACTGACAGTTTAAATATAGTATAACTGTTAGTATTTTTATTAAATATTTATGTTTCATTCCATATCAACTATTTGTTTGTTTACTTTTACTTTTACTTTTATTCATTATTATTTCTTCAAAGTACTTACTTGTAATTTGTATGTGACTTTTAATAAGTTTGTGTAGAATGTAATTCATTCTTCTGCACTGTGCTGTGTCTGTAATTGGCCTTGCGGCTGTTGACTCGGCACATTACTAATAAAGAATTGAATAGAATTTAGCATCAAAGCGTAATCTATGCTGACATTGTGTGTTTTGTAAAGGTCAGTGTTTAGTGATAGATGAAAACAAATAAATATGAATAACTCAAGACATGAGATTGTGTGATATTATATGTATAATGGTTGGTTGTATGTAGTCCCTTGGTGGTCAGTGGTGTAGGACAGTATACTGTTAATTTAAGTGTTCAGATCTTTACTGTGGCAGTGCATAGAACAGGAAAGTTGTGAAGTGGTAGTGACTAATACTTTGATGAATATGTGGGAATGTTACACAAAAAAGAAAAATAATTGAGAAATGATTAAAATGGTGAAGGATTCACGGGAAAAGTTTTGGAACAAGGAAGTTGAAGATGTAGGCAGCACAGCTGTGGCTGATAAATAAATTGTATTTTAAATTATATTAATTTAGTAGTGATTTCAGTTTATGTATGAACAAACTGTATCATAATTATGCAACCAGGTGTCATAAAAATTACTGCTACAGGTTAAGGTCATCAGAGTTTGTTTTTTTCTTTCACCCGTATGTAATGTTAAAGAGCTCTGCATATGCTGGTGTGCCCTGGGCTCCCTGTCTTGTTCGGAATTGCCTTATGTCTGTATCCTCTTGTGAGATGTGAGGTTCTCCCAGCAGTTACTGTGAGGAATACTTTCTTATGCTATGTTATGCCATGTTGTTTGTCAGATGTTCACTGATATTTGTACCCTGAAGGTGGAGGCAATATGTTCCTCTGAAAATGTTGGTACATGTAATTTCCTTTTGTGTCCTTTCACTTTGTGCAGCAGATAAAATCCATGTTTTTTTTTAATATGGGTTAACTGTAGGCTCCTGTTCTTCCATGTTTGGATCCTTATTTATTATAGGGAACATTTTGTACTGAACCAAGGTTAGGGAACAGGAACAGCTCAGGTCAGTATTGATGAAAATATTAATTTCAAAGCTTATATTCTGTTCCTCTGTGCTCATCTGTTATTGACCTGTGAGGTGTGCGATATTCTTGACCAAGCAGCAAGCAAATTTTCAGATCCTCAGTCATTAATTTGGGGCTTCATCTCTGGTCCAACACTCGACTGGTCATAGAGTAAGAAGTTAATTTACTCATAGCTTTATTATGTTTTGTGATAGAAACTGATATAATCAAAGTATTAGTGGACAGGCATATAGGTTTTGAAATTATGTTGCAAGATAAGGCCAGGATAAGTATAGAAGGAAATATCATTCACTGATATTCTGTAACACAAAACATAAATAAAGTAGATATTTATAGTTGTGAGGAGGTTAATGTACAGTAGTTCCATATGCTCTAGCGTGCCTTCCATCCTGCGGAATAGTCGATATCGGAGAGACCAGCGCCAGCTTGAGGAAGAAGAAGAAATGTGGTTCAATGAAGATGATGATTTTGATGATGGTGAGGCAGTAGTTCCAGCAGCCAATGATATTCTCAGCAAGAAGCTGGACTCCGATATAGACTCAATAGGTATGAGTGTCCACCAAAGTGTGTAATGTTGCAAGGTTCCTTCTTGCATTTATTAAGTGCTGCTTTTATGTTATGATTAGTAGAAGTATTTTGATTCTCCAGTAAACTGCCTTCTTTTATGAGTGATGAATTTCAGAGAGTCGATGAATGTGGGTCCAAGTGGAGTGCAGAAGCATCTATTTTTTTAAATCTTGCATCTATAGCATAAATTGTATATTGTTGGGGTTGAGGTTTTTACATTCATGACTATGAAGAGTACAGTATTCTTTCTTGTAACACCATGTATTCAGTCTCTGAAATGTCTCTGGCCTTGCTCAGAATTATGCACTGTTACAGCAGAGGTCATGCTCATCATAAATTGTGTTTGTCTCAAAATGCAAAAGAAAATTTGTACACTTGCAGCAATTACTGGAATGAAATTTGCATTGAAGTTTGGATTGTAGAGGAGTGGGACAGAGTGTGCTGGGGCATTAGTCTCACAATCTACCAGTATGAGATAGTGAAAATCATAAAAACTTGGTTTGTGGCTGCTCTCTTTATATAAGGAATGTGGAGCATATGAAGCCCAACTTAAAGTATTGTGACATGTTGCGCAAAAGGGAACCCCCCCCACCAGCAGTGATGCGGCGGGTGAGTCAGCGCTCCCCTCCCCCTCCTCCGCACGGTAACGTAACGGTGACGCAACCGGATTGTTACGGTAGTAACAGCGCTCAATACCGCTTGCGTTGCTAGCAACACAGCGCCAGGCAACAAGGGTGCCTATTACGTGGCCGTATTATCCGATCGAGGCTACATAAGGAGCAGCGAAGGCTATTCACAGTCAGTTGTACTGAGTCAGTCAGTGAGTCCTGGAGCTACCGCTGAGTTAGCCAGCAACTAGTCAGTTGTATTGTGGCATTTGGATACTGCAGATAGCAGTAATCGTAAATCTGTAATGTGGGTGATTGTATGAGCGAATGTGAAATAAAATTTGCTATATCAAATACGGCGTGAAGTTATCTGTCGCGTTATACGCCTGATACGTGACAGTATCAAGACTGAACCTGTGAAAACAATGATAATATTTGCACTGTAATGGGACGTTAACCCTTTGACGTTGTCATTTAAATTCCGCGGCTGCGGCTCCTGCGGTAATATAATCAGCCGGCCATTTAAATTTTGCTCGAAAATGATTTATTCATCATTGTTCTTAAATTCTATGAGATAGGAACATGAAACTTTCACTAGAATGATCTTAAAAGGTGGTTTTATAACTTACCTTATAATATGAGCGCCCTGTATTTCGGCAATGGTAGTAGGTTGTTTAGTATTTGAGCAGTGAATGGTACGCCTTGAAGGATGAAACTTTCACTAAAATGATCTTAAAAGATGGTTTTTATAACCTTACCTTATAATATGAGCGCCCTGTATCTCGGTAATGGAGGCAGTTGGTTTAGTAGAAGGAAGGCCTTGAAGCATTCGTATAACCCAACGGTGCCCCACATTCACCATTCTCCGCTCCAATATTGTGTATTTTTTTTGGCCCTTTTTTTTAACCACACATTTGTGCTGCCTTGCCTTCTTACCCGTGAGGGGTATAGTTCAAGGAAATGTCTTTCCGTGACCCGTTTAGTTGCCAGGTCAGCTGTAGTAAATTCAACGTTACGAGTTATCATAACAAGGGGTTGTTGCTATGCCTTTGATATTCCATCCATTTTGGCGGCAGGAGATGTCGTAGGGGTGACCACAGAATTCATGAAGTTATTCTAAGAACTGTCTGGTAT